GCGATAGTCATCATCACTAGGGAGTAACCATAGCCATCTCCAGCCGACTTCAACCCTCGGTAGTAGAGATAACACCAGTTGATGAGCATATTATGGCGTTGAGACTGAAGCATGCCTGTGACTTTGTGTCTCTTATTACTGTGTACACTACGCATTGTTCTGGGCGATTTCAATGCAGTACCCTGCTGTGATCGAGCTGGCTACATGATGTCTATCGGTTCCCATGGCTCGGGAACCGAGAAAAGCCTCCTTCTCTGGGACTTTGTTAGGACCCAGAAATTGAGAATTTCTGGCTCCTGGTATCAGCACTCCAACCCACATTCTTGTCAGCACTTGCTGGTGGATCCTTCAGAACTGCAGGGTTTACCGGAGTGTTGAGTTCTGTGGTACTGCTGGTGTGGTTACCATACAAGTCCACTGTCTGTTCGGTTCACAGAATTCGAAAACCTGACAGACCTAGTAGCTCTGTGGGAGTCCTTTTACGTATGAAATACTTGATGTAGTGAAGGAGCCCATTGACAAACACCCGAGAACAAGGCAGAATCTCATCTTACTGGAGACACTGGAGACCACAATTGCATGTTGCCTGGCTCAACTGAATGGCAATCAGGATTTGCATCATTCTATGGTGACCAGGGCTCAGACACTGCTGAGGAAGGACAAGGAACAGTTCATCAGGAAGATGACTTTCACCCTGCCTACCAAGCCCTATGAAAATTGAACTCCAAACTCTCCTCATAGATGACTGCAGTCTGCTAAGTGGATGGACAGATCATCTCAGATCAACTGTGCAAGGTAGACACTCCAGTAATTAGTCTGGAGGCAAGTTGTGTTGCAATAACTGTTGTGGACCCACCCATCACCGAGAAACCTCCTACCCTAACGGATTCGCGACCACCTACTAAGGTACCAGAGACTGGAGTAGTCTGGATTCACTCCTGACAAGTCCACAATAGTCATTGTGGAATGCCATTATGAGTTTGGTCATGGGCTACTTGCAGCCTACATCGACCTTAAGAAAGCGGTTGACTTGATGCATCGCCAGTCTCTATGGGAGATCCTCAGACTTTCGACATGGATTATTGGTAAAATAGCAAGCCTATGTACTGGGGTCTCCTGGACCTAGACCAAGATCCAGGATTTTGAGGGCCTGTTAGGGGAACCTGTTCAGTCGATACATACCTGCAATGAGGACACTGAAGTCACAGAGAGCTTTACATACCTTAACCCAATCGGCTCAGATGGCAAGAATACATGTTTTGCTCACTGCAATATAAATTTACTTATTGTATTTACACATAGATGACTCTACAAGTGCTTAATCACCAAGGAATCAGTTAGTAGTCCTACCTCTCTCCCCTGTTTACCCTTTCCTTTGACTTTTGGAGAGGGTCTTTTGTATTATTTTGTTGTCTTAAATGTTACCGAGATTTTAGTAACAACTTAATAACCATGACATTAATAACAATAATAAAAGTATCAATATCAATTGCATTAAAAAGAAAAACACATTTTCTCGCCAATTCAAGAAATGGGAAAATCAGTATCGGTCATTAGGGCCTATTGATAGACTCCTTGCTGGCTAAGCACATGTGGAGCCATCTGTAAAAAAAAATCGCAAAAAAAATACAGAGGACAGAACATAAATTTGTGGTGGTTGGGTTAATACCATAGTCCATGTCTGACAGGAAGTCAGTAGGCAGACTGGTCTGGCAATAGGAGCCACGAACTCGGTCAGCATGAGCATTTGGAGATGTCGGTACCTATGCAAGGGGACCAAACTATATGTCTTCAAGGCCTTGCCTACTGCCAGTTTTGCTCTATGGAAGCGAAACTTGGATGCTATCTTGTGACTTGGAGTCTTGATGCCTTTTGTAACAAGTCACTACACAGGATCATGCTATACGGGCACCTAGCTCATTTCCCTGTGGGTGATCCTGCCTATCAGGTTGTCTCTTTACGAGACAATTTTGGGTGGAGGAGGTCCATGGGATGACTTAGTAAGTCATGGATAGGGCTGTTCGACCAGACCTGTCGCGAGGAGCTAGAGATGGACCGATGGCCTGTCTGGAGGCTGGAAGCTATGGCTGGATGCGACCATGTCGGCTTTAGCCCCCCAGTGATATACAGTAAAACCTGAGAAAACCGAACACCCATGGGACTGTAAAAAATATCCGGTTTGGACAGTGATCCGGTTTGGAGAGGGTGGTCTTTTAACACAGGCCGCCTATTGAAATGGGAAGGGACTGAGAATATCGTCCGGAATGGACAGTGATCCGGTTTTCTCAGGGTCCGGTTTTCTCAGGTTTTACTGTATATATATATATGTGTGTGTGTGCGTGTGTATGTGGAGCCTCCGGGCTAGTACAGTGATAACGTGTCGGCCATTCATCCAGGCGCGAGAAGTTGCAATTGTCGCCTGGAGGTTACTGCTGTGGCTGGGCACCACGGCGGGTAAGGACTAAGCTCAGCCGAGTCAGCACCTGCTGACATACTGTTAGCGAGTCGACATTAGTCGACACAGGCCGGGCTCCCCTCATAGCCCAGGCGAGGCTTAGCTTCGCATATCGGACTTATCCTTTGTGTGTGTGTGTGTATGTGTGGGTGTGTGGGTGTGCGCGTGCGTGTGTGTGCGTGTGTGTGCGCGCGCGTGCGTGTGTGTGTGTGTGTGTGTGTGTGTGTGTGTGTGTTATGAAACATTTCATAATGGAAAATATTAAAGAATTTGAATGAACACAAATTCAGATACATTTGGTCACATGATAATTTCGTGGTGAAGAAACAAGGGGTACCTTATGCATGGTTGTATGTGAGAAGAGAATTATGGTGTTTACAAGATTAAAAAACTTTGTGATAAGGAGACAGAAATGCTGAGTATTCATAAAACGTAAAGACATTTGAATATCGATGATAATAGCGATAACATACTTAGTGATTCAGAATAATTATTTTCAGTATAAACAAGACATAAATA